TTTGACAATAACTTAGAAATGAGAATTAATCCAAGGGTAAAAACAATGCATTCAGTAAAGCCATACAAAATTGTAGCTGAGTACTAATATAGTGCAAAAGTATGTAAAACAACTTAATACAATGAAATTAATTGCTCAAATTCACAAGTGTCAGTATGTCAAATCATCCCAGAGAGAAATTCAATATGCACTAAAAAGAATTAAAATAATCTTAGGTTGTGCTTAATGGACATAATATTTTGACTGTATCCGATTTTTTTGTCCCACCTGTTTACAATTTTTTTATTATTTTTTAAAAGTAATATTTATTTTAAAAAATATTATTATTATTATTTAATCAAAATAATAGGCCTACTTGTTATTTAAAAAATCATAAGAAACTGAAAAATGTAAATCAAACGCATTTATACTCACGTGAAATTTAGTTAATAGTTAGTTCTTGGTTCAGGGAAAGTTCTTGCCATGTTAACCTCTTAAGACCCGAGAAAAGATTTTTAGGAAAAAAATCGTTTTTTTCATGTCTTTACATTGCTTAGAGCATAAAAAAATGATATTTCATTCATAAGTTATGCTATGTCCTCGGTAGAAAGTTCTTGCCGTTTTTTTCATGTCTTTACATTGTTTAGAGCATAAAAAAAATGATATTTCATTCATAAGTTATGCTATGTCCTCGGTAGAGGACATCGGGACTCAATTTAAAAATTAAAAAAAGACATGAATGAACATGCATAGGCAAAAACAATAGATTTTTTAAATCACCAAATACATTTTTAGTTTTCAGGATTTTTTTTTTTTACCAAACGTTGTATAAAGATTATTCTCAACTATGTTATAACAGAATGATTTGATATACCAATTTTTCTTTCTGCAAAATGTGTGTAAGATGGCCATAAACGGGTTTTCTCATTATATACACTGTCTCTATAAACTAAATATAATTTGCATATTAAAGTATTTTTGGGGCAACATGTAATGAAAAAAGAAGTGTAATAATGGGAGTAATATTTGACAAGATTTTCATAATAATATATAATATTTCATAGAATATTGAAACATAATTTATTTCCCTATTCATTTGTTATGTCTCCCAAAATGCTAATAAACATGTTTTTAGTCCCAGTGTCCTCATATGAGGACATGTATGAAATCAACCTCCTGTTTCGTAACAGAAAGTCATATTTTGATTTGAAACCCCATAACATTTTCCTGAGATGTTGATTTATGACACACAGTTTAAAAATTAGTCAGATTTAAATGATAATTACTAAATATTATCATATTTCCATAAGAGTGTCACTAAATTAATATCAGACATATTTGAAGACCAAGGAGAGGGAGTGGTCATGATGAAACATCCAAACATTTAGTATCTCTGAAAAGCCCTGAATGTGCTCTGCACAGGACATCCAGAATTAAAACTGTGGCATGTACAGTCTCAGAGAAATACACCAAAATATAATGTCCTCATATGAGGCCGCGGGGTCTCAGGAGGTTAAGTAATTGTCTTGCTGAACAGGATGAAACCTTTATACGGACGTCTACAGATGAACACAATCAGGTCTTTCACTGCCCTCTTTTGGTGGTCTTTAGTCGGTGATGAAGGAAGTATTAATTACGGTCCAGCTTGGTTAATCAAGTTAAATAAGCGCTTCAGTGTTATCATGTGCAGGTCGTGGACTGTGGGATCATGTTATTCCCTGGTCTTACATTAATGCAGCAGCGGAAAGTGTTAGATAGCAGAAGAAATCTGGTTCAAGAGAATCATTTACTAAATGCACTTTGCTAACGCCAATCATTTATGCGCTTATTTACAAATTACTATTACAGAGTCACATGTTTTCTTGTAAAATTGCTGATATTATAGTGAATAGGTTTATAATATGATGTAGTAACATTTAAAGTGATTTTGTTTACCATCCCTTTTTATCATCAGACATAGAATACAGTTAATGGCTGCAATGATCAAAATGCATTGACTCATCATGCCTCTTGTCTTTGAAAGCGCTGAAATCAGTTCACGCATCACCTCGGGATCCCTGATCACTTCCATGCAAGTGCTAAGCTCCTTCAGAACTGTAGCGTCAATATTCTAACAGGCCACGAGAGGACGCAAAATACAGCTTCAGAACCTCCACACTCTTTAGTCATATTCATCAAGGTCAACCTGGTATGCAAGCCCAACAAACAAGACTGTAGATCAAAAAGCGATGCCATTATATATTCTGCTGATGGTCTGCTAAAACTAGTCTTACAACCAGGAGACTTTGAAAATGCTGCATGAGGGATGTTTTAGCCCTATATACAAGTTTATCCAATTTTATAATAGGCCTATCTCAGACATACTGGCCATGCGGTAGCCTATGTCACATAAGTAGCTAATGTTACAATAACGCTTTTTTTTTTAAAGTTAACACCAAATGTTCTGAACCAGTTGTCTTTAATGCTCAGAATTTTCATAAAGAGATTATGACACTGTGCTTTTTCAGTCTTGGGATATGATGGCCCATCAAGTCTGGCGTTTAGTGGCCTAATTTATGAACTTAAGCCTAGTCCTTACTATATCTGTAGAAACGTTGGTCAAAATCGCTATGGAATAGAACAGAATAAAATAATATGAACACCTTTGAACGGTCCACATCTGTTCTGCGAGCATGAGACGCACATTCTTCACGCATGACTAAAACGCATGTACCCTGCCCGGCAGCCGTGTGGACCCCAAAGGGCCTCCCACTGTACACGGCAACAATATCTGTGATGGTTACTCGCTGTCTACTTTTACACACCTTTCCATGGTCCAAATGTCTAAACGGAATGGCAAGAACTTTGAATAAGGCATACGCCTATATGAAGCATGTTAACCAAGCAAAACAAAAACAAAAATGCATGCCTTGTTACTTTCTCATAGCATTTTGCAGGTCACAACAGGTCCCATATAGGCTTATTCAACCTGATTTTTAAATTCTATTTACTTTAAATAAATATCCACTGCCATTCAGAAAGATTTAATGTTAGGCCTACGTTTAAAATAGGCATACCACAAATTAAGAATAAGGATTTTCCTATTTACAAATTACAAGTCTCGAAAATACCTGATATTTTGGGAATATATGGCCTGGTTTATAGTTATAGTTATAGTTAGTGAAACTGTAAATTAAAAAAAATAACAAATGTAAGCTGTTGAAATTGACACCAAACGCATAGCACAACCTAAGGAGCTATCCAGGGAATTAAGCAGGGGTCGTTTACATTTTGTTTAACAATGAAAAAATACATTCATCATATGTTTTACTAAAGCTCTGCCACGTGAGCGGTCAAATTAATCACAGGACATTTAGCTGTCAATTAAGCCATTTATGCAAATAGAGCTTTTGGTAAGCGAGGCCTCATCGACGTTCACGCATTTGAGGCCGCTGCAAAGCTGCTTTGATTAAACGGTTCTTGCGTGCATTGTGGCAGGCGCTTTTAACCGTGCTGTATGATGAACGCCCAGCTGATCGCGGTGAATGCACGCTAATTAAAACCTATAAATTATGTTTTTATAGGAGTTCTTAAGGCGCGTCTTGCGAGAGAGATAGTGGACTATTCAGCCATTTACCGCTTAACCGACGCCGCCTCACAATAGCCCACTCTCCAGAAGAGCCGGCAATAGCCCTAATTATAAATTAATTAAGTGCAAACAGATCATTCTCGCGATAAGTATTTCAAGCACCCAAATATTGAGAGCGAGGCTATATAGCCTATGCCAGTCGGCTTCACTCGTCCTGAATGAGATCTAAATTAATGCTAACGTATTATTTTATTACACAGTGTCGTAGCCATATGTAGGCTATACTTGTTTTAGTAGGCTATATATTAGTAGACTATATGCAATGTATAGCATTAAGAACAAGCATATAGTTTAAATTTAAATTAGACATTCAATTAGTATATTTTAATAGCCTACACTCTAAAAAATGCTGGGTTAAATACAACCCAGTGCTGGGTAAAATAGGGACAGACCCAGCAATTGGGTTGTTTTGACCCAGCGGTTGGGTTACTACCCTGAAGATTGAGTTAAACATTTAACCCAACCGCTGGGTCAAAACAACCCAATTGCTGGGT